CTCCCCACGGGTACCCTTGCATCCGGGCCTGACCGGTCCATCCTTGGCCACTTTCGTGGGCCGCGTCCCGCTCGAAAAGCTTCGACTTCGGCCTTCCAAGGCCCCTGCATCTGCATCCTCGTCGAGCATCCTTGCGATCGGGGTCGACTGTAAACCTCTCGGGGCGAGACGACGATCATAGGGGATCGGGTACATGCCATGCTTGGGGAGGCGCGTTGTGAAGCAGTCACGATGCCGGATGCATCGTAGCGCCAGGCACCTATGAGACTAAAAGGTCCGCGGCCGAGAGCAGCATGTGATCGAAGGCGTGCCCGAAATGGTAACCGGGAACGCAGTACGGCCGAATTTGCAACCAGAATTCAAAATCGTAGTAGCTTCGATCCAACATGCTCGGTCTCACTCGGACGCGTTCGGAAGCATCGGGCGCCGGCTTCGGCTACGCTCGGGCAGATTTCCGGGCGCAGTTTCGGTCGCTGCACCCACTTGATAGAGACGAGGCTACATGAGATGACCGCCCAGGGCCCCAAAAAGGCGCGAGAGGCTTGGGGCAGCTACGAAGCACCTCCGGCAACCCCCGACCATTCTTGCCGTGGCGAGGGGGCCGCGGATAGGTTCGAGCGACGCCGCAGTCGAAGACCGACCGAACCGTCAGCCAAACCGAAACCCGACCGAACCGATAGCGAGCCCGAATCCGACCGAAGCCGACGGGCCGCAAGCAGCCTAGAAAGGCTCAGCGACGCGGCAGCCACACAACCGACCGACCCAACCCGAACCAGGTCGGCCGACTAGACCGCCAGGGTGTCCACACGCTTCGGTCGGTTCGGCTGCCTCGCGGTCGGTTCGGTTGCGTTCGGTTCGGTTCGCGACTAGCGTTTAGAGTCTCGATCGGATAGCGCCGATTTAGCGTCGGGTAGCGTCGACCTATTGCCGGTCAGCGTCGGCTAACGTCGATTCGCGTCGATTCGCAAAAGCCGACATGATAGTGTGGGAGGCTCATGAGTTGCCACCGGAAGTTGGTGTGGTCGGCTTGGGGGAGCTTCTGAACGTGCGGCTCGCGCCTCTGGCTTGCGGCGTTGGGGGCGGAGAAACAAAAGAAAAACATCTGCCGCGCCCCCGCTGCACGGGCGAGATGCGCAGCGAGTCGGGCGGCTCGTTCGGTATCGTCTGACCGATCCCCATCCCCATTCCCATCCCCATCCCCTTCGAGACCCCCACCAAATTACCACCCCAGTTGGGGATACACCCCTCGAAACCCGAATGGACCGGCCTATATCCTCATCTAGGGGAGGTAAACCGGCCAGTGGGTCCCAGGCCACGCTGGTGGGGATGGGGATCGGATAAACGATACTCACTCGTGGCGACCCAAGCCGCTGGGCAGCCGTTGCAGCCGCAACGGGCCAGCAAGGATCCAGCAGTGGCGAAGAGTCCGTGCTCGTTCATAGGCCCGCCCAATGATGGTCTGAGAACATGTTCTGTGGTCTGCACGAGATGTTTTTGGAACATGTCTGGCTGCGACGGTTTTGTTTTTACATATTGGGCTTATGCTCTATGATCCTCGCTGTTGTTATTTGGACACTTTGGGGTTCTAAGAAAACCTTGTGGTAGGCCTACAGGAATGCCAGGACGGTCGGTCCCTGCTCCAAAACCGCTGGACAGCCGTTGCACCGGCATTTGCGCGTGAGGTTCCCGCGCAGGGTGGCGCGTAGGATTCCTCTCCACGCGGTGTGCCGCGCTGGCGGCAAGGCCGCCGGGTCCTCTTGCGTTAGAGAGTTCGATCCGTGTCTTTCCGTCGCTCATTTTGGGAGGCTTCTGCCCGGGAAGCGACGGGCCTCCCGCGCCACCAGGCGACTGTCCGGGTGAGCCTCACGACCTCATCTACAGCTGGAGACCTTCCGTCGCTCATTTGGGAGGCTTCTGCCCGGGAAGCGACGGGCCTCCCGCGCCACCAGGGGCCTGCCTCGCGACCTCGTCTACAGCTGGCGAGGGCACTTGTGACCAACAGCGCACCCGAAATCGCAACCGAAATCGAAATCGCATTCGCCGCGAACCCAAGATTCACATTCAGGCTCGGTCGGCAATTTTCGGGTGGGCCTCAGTGTCGCTCGCACCCGCACGGCCGTTCGGGCACAGTGTCGGTCCCTGAGCTTCACATGGCACGGACGAGGCTGCGTGGCACGTGGGAGGCCTCCTTTGCTTGGGGAACGAGGTCCCTTCTGCGCCACCAGGAGCCCGTCTGGTGGAGACTCACTCGGACTTGCTGGCGGCCCCACTCGGGGATACCGCCAGAGTTAATGTTTCACCTCTTCATTTTTTTCTTTTTGCAGTGGAGACCCATGCCAAGAAACACCCTGCTTGCCTCCAGGGTGCCCTGGGTTTTCCTGGGTTTCGATGGGTTGCTATGGAAGGCGTGGCGTTCGCACACCAAAAATCAATGGACGTCCTGGGGTCTCAGGGCTGGGTTTCTTGAGGAAGGTTTCTTGTGGTCGGGCCCCTACTGCAGCCAGATGAAAGCGCACGAGAGTGGCAGGCCTCAGAGAGCGAAGGCTTCCACATGTGGGGCGCGCGGACGCCAACGCGGATACGCTGCGACACAGGTGAGGCCTCTGCTTGAAGAGCGATTGGCGCCCCGCGCCACTAGGAGCCCGTCCGGATGAGCCACACGGTGCGCCAAGAAGACACGATTGGAGCCCTATAGACTTGTGGAGGACGATCAATGGAGAGGAAGCATGTTGCCAAATAATTTCCAGATGTCCAAAACATGTGTTAAACATGTTTTTAACATGTAAAGACATAGTTAAAACATGTTTATAACATTTTCCGACATTTCAAACACAGTTTAGATTCAATGATAGGACTGTTAGGGTGTCCATTGTCGTGGCATCCGCAACTATAGACCCCATCCTCCCGCGTAAGTTTCGTCAACTGGATCGACCTGCGGGGCCCCCCCGGGCCCGAAAACGGTTGTCGTGGACACAAGATTGCAACACCAGCCCCATCTGAGAGGCTTCTGCTGCCTGCCCAGGCATCTGGCCGCTCCACGTCCTTCGATGCGTGGGCCCCAGAGGTCCAGACCTCTTCCCCAGGGCCGACTTTTCGTCCTGGGTCGTTTTTGGACGGTCCCGAGGTTCGACGAGGGCCCCCGGAGGCTGAAAAAAGGCCAGACCCCGCCGCTCGGATCTCTGGGTACGGTCGTCTGCCCTGATATTTGCGCGTAGGCTTCGTGCAAGGCTGCGCGTACGATTCCTCCTCTCCACGCGGTGTGCCACGCTGGCGGCACCCGCGAGTCGCGGCGCAAGGTCAGCGGGTCCTCTTGCGTTCGACAGTTCGACCCGCGTCCTTCCGTCGCTCATTTGGGAGGCTTCTGCCCGGGAAACGACGGGCTTCCCGCGCAACCAGGAGCCCCTTCGGGTGAGCCTCACGGCCTCGTCTACAGCTGGCGTCCTTCCGTCGCTCATGTAGGAGGCTTCTGCCTGGGATACGATGAGCCTCCAGGAGCCTGTCCGGGAGAGCCTCACAACCTCGTCTACAGGTGGCGTTTTTCCGTCGCTCATTTGGGAGGCTTCTGCCCGGGAAGCGACGGGCCTCCCACGCCACCAGGAGCCTGTCCGGATGAGCCTCACGACTCACAACCTCGTCTACAGCTGGCGAGGGCACTCGTGACCAACAACGCACCCGAAATCGCAACCGAAATTGAAATCGCATCCGCCTCGAACCCAATATTTCCGTCACCCTCAGGCTCGGTCGGCAATTCTCGGGCGCCGGTTCCGGTCCTTCTTGCACGGCCTTTTGGGCACAGTTTCGGTCTCTACGTCCCACATGGCACGGACGAGGCTGCGTGGCACGTGGGAGGCCTCCGCTGCCTGGGGAGGCTTCTGTCTGGGGAACGACGGGCCTCCCGCGCCACCAGGAGCTCGTCTGGGTGAGCCTCACTCGCACTGGCCCGCGGCCCCTCTCGGGGATACCGCCAACAAGGTTTATAGTGAACCGCTTCCATCTGTTCTCTTGCAGTGGTGACCCATGCCAAGAAACCCTGCCTGCCTCCAGGGTGCCCTGGGTTTCTTGGTTTTCGATTGGCTGCCTGGGGAGGTTTCTGCCTGGGAAACACCGGGCCTCCCGCGCCTCCAGGAGCCCCTTCGGGTGAGCCTCACGACCTCGTCTGCAGCTGGCGTCCTTCCGTCGCTCATTTTGGAGGCTTCTCACTAAACAACCACAACCCAACCCTGGAGGCCCCGATGTGCCAACCCTGATGGCCCCTGGGAACGTGTGAAAAAACATCTGAAGTCCGTACCCCCCCAAACCCGAAATTCGGGTCTTCGGATTTGGGTTGGGGTTGTGTGATTGGAGACCCAGACCCTCGACGCAATGATTTTTTCATTACGTCAACCTCCAGAGGTCCCTGACCCTTTCCCCAGGACCAGCTCTGCATCCCGAGTCGTCTCTTGACGCTCCCGAGGCCCGGTGAGGGCCCCCGGAGGCCGAAAATTAGGAAGAACCTCCCGTCACGATTTTTGTCACTGCCCGAGGGAGTCTGGGGACGCACGACGCGCGCTCTGGCAGCCTGGCGACAGGCGACCGAGCAGCGAGCGACCGAGCAGCGAGCGAGCGATCTGGCAGCCTGGCGACAGGCGACGGGCGCAGGAGCAGCGACCGAGCGCAACGAACTGCCGAGGCCGAGGCTGGCTCGGCCTGCGCCACCGCTCCCGGAGGCGTCCAGCCGGGCCGTCATGATCTCTGCGCTCCTTTGAGGAAGCCTGGAGACGCCTTCGGGTCGCCAGGCTTTTCCTCCCTCTCCTCCTCCTCCTCCTCCTCCTCCTCCTCCTCCTCCTCCTCCTCCTCCTCCTCCTCCTCCTCCTCCTCCTCCTGTCACCAGGGTGCCCTGGGTTTCTTGGTTTTCGATTGGCTGCCTGGGGAGGTCTCTGCCTGGGAGACGCCATGGCCTCCCGCGCCACCAGGAGCCCCTTCGGGTGAGCCTCACGGTGCCCGAGGGCGCGGCCCCCGGCACCAAGCTGCAGTACGCCGCGCCGGACGGGCAGGCCGGCGGCCCCGCCCGCGGTCGCCGGTGGCGATGCTCCTCCTCCTCTTCCTCCTCCTCCTCATCCCTCTCCTCTTCCTCCTCCTCCTCCTCCTCCTCCTCCTCCTCCTCCTCCCCTCCTCTCCTCCTCCTCTCCTTCCTCCTCCCCTCCTCTCCTCCTCATCCTCCTTTTCCCTCTTCTCCTCCTCTCCTCCTCCTCCTTCTCCTTCTCCCTTCTCCTTCTCCTCCTGCTGCTTTTTTCCTCCTCCTCCTCCTCCTCCTCCTCCTCCTCCTCCTCCTCCTCCTCCTCCTCCTCCTCTTCCTCCTCCTCTCCATCCTCCTCAAGCAAGGGGACGCCGATTGCACCGAGCTACTCAGTGACCTGGTCCAGGACTCGTCGTCTCTGTTTTGGATTCAGGCTGCTTCTCATTATGGGAGTGAGGGGCTGGAGCTTGGGGGCGGGAATGTGCTCTTGGCTGGTCGCGGAAATTCGCAAGTTTGTCGTTAAGGAAGCGTACGATCTGGTAGGGCTCCAGAATGCTGCAGTGTCGGGCAGACAGTTCACTCGAGAAAGGCAGGCGGCTCTAGAATACGAGGTTGACACGTTGTGCCCAAGGTGCCACCAGGGCACAGAGACTCTCTTTCACCGAGTTTGGGAGTGGCCGTGCAATGTCGGTTTTGAAGAATTCGAGAAGAGCGAGTGTATTAGGCAGCAGGCTCAGGCGCAGTGGGAAAGTTGTCCAGTGCTGTGGCTTAGAGGCGTGCCGCCTAGAGCTACACCCATTTTTTCCCTGAAGGAAATCGTCGGCCCTTGGGGCCGCTCCCGATTTCCGAGGTTGAGCCGCACACCGCGTTCGGGTGTGTAGTGGTTTTCGGAAACGGATCGGAGGTGCGGACCCACGTAGGCGTAGGTGTGGCACCGCGGTGATCGCCATGCAACCTGACGGCCGAACGGGCTGGAGGTTGGCGTGGGGGCTATCGACCCCAGTCGGGGGCCAGCGGCAACGGGTCCCTCGTTCTGAGCTGCTCGCGTTTGCCATCGCGTCAGAACATGTCCCCATGCGTTTTCTGTTCGTGACTGACCACGAGCCCCTCATGAGAGCTTGGGGGCGGGGTCGGCAGTTCCAGAAAAAACGGAACCAACCAGGATTTGTGGTCTCGAAATCGGGTGGCCTTTCAGTCTCGGTCGACAGAGGTGAACCTTTTGTGGATTCCCTCTCACATGGACGAAGCCACCTCTCCTAGCGAACCGAAGGGCAACGCCCTGGCTGATGAAGCGGCGGGGGCTGCGGCGGGGAGAGGGTGGGCGGCGTCGGTGGAAGGGGGCGAGCCTCAGACAGACCATTGGGATGCGATCGGCGCCCTGGTTCGAGCGCGCGCGAGGCGCGCACTGGTCCTGGCGTCAGAGGCCGACCCATGGAGTGGGGTTCGAGCCTCGGTCCAACGGAGAGCGCCCCCGTCGAGGAGGAAGCTCGCTCTGCAGGCCTCCAGCCACTGTTTCGAGCTGAGCGAAGGCGCGTGGAGGTGCAGCGAGTGCAATATTGTGGTGCCTGCTTCTCGCCTCATCGAGTCCGCCAAGACCCAGTGCCGTGGCGTCCCTGTCTGTTCGGTGGGGGCGGGAGGCGGTGGGTTGGCGGCGGGGCGGGAAGTGCACCCTCCCACACTGTCCAGAGGTGGGAGCAGTTCCTCATGAGTTTTTGCACCACCTGTGGTAAGCATGCTACGGTGGATGGCCGCCACTTGGCGGCCAAGTGTGAGGGCATGTCCAGGAAAGGCCGGGAGAACATACGCCGCATCGAGGAGGGCAAGCACCCCCGTAGAGAAAGGGTACCGAGGGCCTTGCAGGCCGCCCTCGATGCGCGAGACCTCGGAAGCCTGGCGAGAGCGTGCGAGAGGGCCGCTGGGCCCCAGGGAGGGGACGGTGGACCGTCCGCTGCTGCTGGGTAGTTGGTCCTCCTGTGGAGGGCAAACTGGCCAGAGGCGGTGCGGGGGTGTGGCGGTGAGGCGGGGTTCCGCCTGCACCAAAGCACCTCTGGTCGGGGTCCTGCCTTCCTCTCCCTCTCCCTCTTCCCCGCACGACTGTGCTTGGTAAAATGGTCCAAATGGTCCTCCTCCTCCTACTCCTCCTGCTCCTGCTCCTGCTCCTTCTCCTCCCTCCCTCCCTCCCCTCTCACCCTCCCTCCCTCCTTCCCTCCCTCCCTCGCTCCCTCCTTCCCGCCCTCCCGCCCTCCCTCCCCTCTCCTCCTCTTCATCCTCCTCTTCCTCCTCCTCCTCGTCCACATCCACCTCATCCTCCCTCCCTCGTCCTTCTCCTTCTCTTTCTCCTCTCTCCCTCCCTCCCTCGCTCCCTCTCTCCATCCCTCCATCCCCTCTCCTCCTCTTCCTCCCTCCCCTCCTTCTCCTCCTCCTCCTCCTCTTCTTCCTCCTCCTCCTCATCATCATCAGCAGCATCCACCTCCACCTCAACCTCCTTCCTCCTCCTCCTCCTCCTCCTCCTCCTCCTCCTCCTCCACATCCACCTCATCCTCCCTCCATCGTCCTTCTCCTTCTCCTGCCTCACTCCCTCCCTCCCCCCTCTTTCACCTGTCCTCCTCCTCGTCCTCCTCCTCCTCTCCTTCTCCTCCTCCTCCTCCTCCTCCTCCTCCTCCTCCTCCTCCTCCTCCTCCTCCTCCTCCTCCTCCTCCTCCTCCTCTGCGCGAGAATGGCCAGACGCTGCATCCGACGTTCGACAACGACCTCCTCCGCTCCAGCCCGCCCTCATGCCTGCCTCCTGCTTCTCCTCTTGGACAGCCACACTTGTGTGAGAAAGACTTATTGAGGGCGTGACCGGCTGATCCAGAGATCCGAGGCTCCGACACACACACACACACACACACACACACACACACACACACTCTGCAACGCCTGGTTTTGCCTTGCAGCCGGCCTCGCGGGGCCCTCCGCGGCCCCCCCCACGACGCCGAGAACTACCCGGGATGGAGAACCTCCTCCTCCCTCCTCCCCCTCCTCCTCCTCCTCCTCCTCCTCCTCCTCCTCCTCCTCCTCTCCTCCTCTTCCTCCTTTCTCTCCTCCTCCTCCTCCTCCTCTCCTCCTCCTTCTCCTTTTCCTTCTCCTCCTCCTCCTCCTCCTCCTCCTCCTCCTCCTCCTCCTCCTCCTCCTCCTCCTCCTCCCTCCCTCTCCTCCTCCTCCTCCGCCTCCTTCTCCTCCTCCCCTCTTCCTCCTCCTCCTCCTCCTCCTCCTCCTCCTCCTCCAGCCCCACGTTGGGGAAGTGGCGCAGACTTCTGGGGGGCCACGCATCGAACAAAATGGGGATGTCAGATGTTTTGTTCTCCTTTCCCCGCACACAAACACCCAACAGCTTCTGGCGAACGAATCCGCTTTCCCTCATGGGGGCTAGAACCGCACCAACAACGATCCGCAGCCGCCCCCAGGCACAACCGGACATGGGCTCGCACCGCTCTGTAGCACTATAGCGGCAGGGCTCGGAAGGTGCTGGCCGGGCGCATGTCTCCGCGATCACCGCAACAAACAACAGAAATGGAGTGTCAGATGTTTGGGTGCGGTTTTGCGGACCGGAAGTTGTCCTTCGGATCGTCGGGGGTTTTGGCTTCGGGGGTGGCCTTCGATGGGGCGCGCCCATGGCGGCGTCTGGAGGCCCAAGGCGAGCCAGGATTGGGGACCCCGCAGCGATGAGGTGACCATAGCGTTAAGGTAAGTCGGGCCTGTCCCTCTACAGGAGGAATGTTCAAACATAGTAAAAACATGTTTTTTTTGTATTTTTGAGCATTTGGGAGTATTTTGTCAGTATTTTCCTTGTTCGTCCCAAATCCGCCTGTAGAGGGATATGCCCGACCTAACCATAGCGTGTGATGAGTCAGTAGGGATTGAGGCACGTCCCCCTACCAGCTTGTGGAGTTGGGTCCTCCCTCCTCTCACCCTTCCCCTCCGCATGGCCGTCCCCACAGGGAGCTTCACCGAAGGCCCAAGTGCCAGGGTTTACAGGCGTCTGCCCCACCCCACCCAGCACAGCGCTTCGTGGCCCCATGGGAGCCCCATGGAAGGCTCTAGTGGCCGGGTGTACATGCGTCTTCCCTCGCCCAGTAAAGGGAGCTCCACCGAAGGCGCTAATGGCAGGGTTTACATGCGTCTCCCCCAGTACAAAGCTTCGTGGCCCCACAGAGGGCTCCACCGAAGGCCCTGGCGTCAGAGTCCATGTGCGTCTTCCCCACTCAGTACATCGTTTCGTGGTCCACCGCGAGCTCCATCGAAGGTCTCAGTGGCATAGTTCACATGCGTCTCCCCCTCCCAGTACAGGGTTTCGCAGCCCATAGGGAGTTCCATCGAAGACCCCAGTGGCAGGGTCCACATGCGTCTCTGCCCCACTTCCGCACACCCTTGACACGTTTAGCAAGGAGCTCCACCGAAGGCACCAGTGGGAGGTTGCACATGCCTCTCCTTGCCGCAATTGCGGCACCCCACCACCACACCGAAAGCGGTAACCACAACACGGCATTCACAGTTTCGCGAGGACAATTCGGCCCCTGCCAATAACGAGCGTGACCGGCGGGGGGGAGGGGGAGGGAGAGGGGGCGACGGGGACGGTGACGTCACGATTCGCGCCGAAGCCGCCTGAGAATGCGCAGGAATGGGCCTTCCCAGACGGAGCCCGCGCGAATCGTGACGTTACCAGGGGGGTCTGGGAGGGAGGGGGTCGGGGCCCGTAACGTGAGTCATCCCGAAAGAGATGCCTGCATAGCAAGGATGAGCGACTTCCCAAGGTCAACCGTCCACCCTTCCCCTTCGCGGCCCATCGTCGGCCGCTTCCGCTGGCCGTGCCCCGCTCGCAAAGTGCCGGCATGGCCCTCCAAGGCCCAGGCCCGCTCACCGCACGAACCAGCACTCGCCTCCTCCTCCTCCTCCTCCCCCTCCTCCTCCTCCTCCTCCTCCTCCTCCTCCTCCTCCTCCTCCTCCTCCTCCTCCTCCCCCTCT